AGAAGCATTTTGGATGTCAGGTCTTAGCAACTGACTGTAAGACGTAAGGCTGGGGGTGTTGAGGGTCTCAAAAGCTTCTAGACGAGAATGTTAATACCAACGAAAGCAACAGGGGCAACAGAAGGAAGAAAGACAGTGTTCAGAAGAGACCACAGGGTGTTAGCCGTGTCAGAAGCACAGAAGAGGTAAGCTGTCCAGCAGGTACTTGGAAAGGGCTGCCCAGAGCTATGTGAAAGTCAGGGCTGGAGATAATGACTTGGGCGTTACTCCTACTGAGGTCAAAACTCAGGCCAAGAAAGGATGAGCTTTGCCAATGGATCAAATACTGATAAGAGAAGAACGCAAACGGAAATTGAGGAACACAAACTTGAGTGAGCAGGAGATGAAAGGAAAGCCGAAAAAGAAGCCACCAATGAGCAGTCAGAGAAGTAAGAGGGGCACAAAGAGCACGCGGAAGTCAAGAGAAGAGTTTAAGAGGCAGCAGGTGCCAGCATTGCCAGAGGCTGTTGACAGTGTGAAGCGAATGAAGATTTGGACCCTCAGAGGCCAATTATAACCTGATTCTGAAATATTAATACTTAATATATTTTACAGGGAAGGACTCACTCCTTTAAATCAAAGTAGTTTCACAGGAGATTACTCTTTTTTATCCTTTGAAGAAAAAACAAAAGAATTTCTTATTGGAAGGTACATGCATTTCAAGGATAATCTCCTTAAACATTCTCAATTTGATCTTATTGGCCAATAGTTTTCAATCCCATCTAGTACTATTCTTCCAAAAGGTATTTCGGGGGACATTTTCAGTAATTATGACTGAGGGGACTCTATCAGCATATGGAGGACAGGGGCCATACACACTATATAAAAGAGGCATTCCTAATCCATGTAGAGGAGCCCTGCCCAAAATGCCAATAGTGTCACCTGTTGAGAAACGCTGTCACATAATGCTGTTTATCACTAAATGCACCTTTTGTGTATTTGAGAAAAATTGATAGAACTTCAGATTCTGAAATTTTGGAGAATCAATTTCAAAAACAGGCAAATATCATTAATACAGTTCATCCCTTAGAAACTTTTCAAGCAAATGCATGCCTTTTAGTTTTACTGTTTATTCATATCTAATCTAGTTCCAAAAGAAATAGGTCTTCAAGTAAATTATTTAGTAGGGCAGCTTCTTATAATCTATAACTCTTCTATGTATTAGCTCTAATCAGAATCTGTTTAGGGGTGTGCATGATTAATAAGAATGCATTTCATTGTGTTATTAGGTGAGGAAACAGCCAATGTTTAATTTAACTGCTTTTTAAAAATACCAACATTTTGTACAGATCTTTATTTATTTAAACAAATATTTCTCTGTGTTACCACCCATACTAGATATTTTCCATTGAAAATTTCTGTTTTAATGCCAAATATTACCAAACAGTAATCACCAGTTCAGATATCTGAACCACACAGTATGTCATTTTTTTGTGGGGCTATCCTAAGCGTACAAAATTTTTAACAATATCTTTTCACCAGCATTTTGTAGTTGTCACCCAAATGCCCTGTAAAATTTTCAAGAACTTATTTGGGATTTCAGTAAAGATTAATAAAAACTACTGGATCTTCCAAGGAGGTAGAGTAGGACCCTGGATTCACCATTTAAGGGACCAATTGAGAAAACGAAGCTTGCTCCACCAGTTAAAAAAAATTCTATTACACACTGAGACTTAGTGTGCAGTCGTTTCCCAACACATTTCCTGCACACTTTGATCCAAATAGTTGAGAAAGCCTCGAACAAACAAGGATGACTTCTCAGACAATGAGAGTCCATTCAGTGGCTTATTATGCAATCCAGCACTATCATGCCATCTATTGAGAAACTTGGCTCTTCAAAAGGTTCCCAAAAATCTGTTAAGAAAAACAAGCCAGTGAACCTTATAACAACCTAGTAGCCTTAATGCCAAACATTTAATACCTGACACTAGCTACCATGAATTATTTCTGTGCATGTGCTTACACAGAATAAATAATGCGGGACAAGGCAAACAACTCTTCAAAAGATCCTCAGCTATCCTGTCCCCCAGGCAAAGTCCGTGAGGGATTCCCTGCCAGATTTAGAGTTGTAGGCAGGAAAGGAGGCTCACTCTTCCCTTGTTCGTTTCTCCTCCCGTCCCTCCGTGCTTCATTTTTTCTATAAGCACCTGTTCAGGACTATCACCTGCCAGGCACTGCACTGAGAAGAGAGAACACGACAGACAAAGTCCCTGCCCTCGTTCAGCTTCGTGCAGCATAAGCCATACTACTCAGTGGTTAAAATCAGACAGCCTGCCTGGGTGCTTGCCCCAACTCAGCCACTTGCTAGCTGTGCAAATTGGGCAAATTTCTTAACTCTCTGTACCTCAATTGCTCTTCTATAAATGTGGATATTGACAGACCTACCTCAGGATTGTTAAAGAGATAAAAGGAGTTAATAGACAGTGGTAGCACAGTACCCAGAACATGGTAGCATTATAGAGATGTTGTTATAGTTACTATACTCTTGGGCTTCTCAGAGTGAGTGGATTAGTCTGTCCAAAGCGCAGAAAAAACTTGCTGCTCAGTCTCTCAAAAAAATGGAAATCAATTCATTAGCAAAGACCTTCTCCGGGGAAGGGATGTCCTGCCCTCATAACAAGAGAAAATCCTCCATTACCTGTTTATACTGGGTCACTCTCAATGGGCAAATGGATGGGGCTGAACACACAGGTTTCTGAGGCAAGGTACCCTTCTCAAATTTGCCTTTTAGCATATCTTAATTTCTTGAAATTGCTACATCCCTTTCAAATTATTTGAGATATATGCTTCTTCCACTGAGAGGAAACTGAGGGCAGAGAGGACAGGAGGAAGATTATCCTAGATGACTAGACGTTGAGTTTTTGGAGAGCAGAATTCCAACCTCCTTCATCTTGGGAACCACAGTACAGTGTCTGGGGTGATTTTAGGGGTTCAGAAATAGCTAGTTTATTTATTAGGTGTTTTCCGTATACTTTATTCCTCACCATAGCACTTCAGGGTGGATATCACAAATCCCATTTTATGAATAAGAAAAACTGACGATGAGATTGTTAAATAATTAATCTTACGAAAGTGCGGAACTGAGCTTGAAATCTAGGTCTAACTCTAAAGTTAATTACCTTTTCCCATGTGAATGTCTCAAAAACATGTTTGATAAATGAATACAGAATGAAAAGCAATTGCAGGAGACTTCTTTTACTTTAGATACATGAACCAGGAATATAACTCTGGATAAAGTATATTTCTTCAAGTCTCTTTGCCCTCTTTCCC